TTTGCAGGATGTATAAACTAATGTTGCATCTTCTAGATTGAATGTTAAGAGAAAATTTGTTATTCCTGACTCATTGTATTTTTAATGTCTATTTTTGGGTTGTTATCAATCAAAATGAGATTCAAAAATTGGTCAAAGAAGGTTTATTACCTAGTGAGGCAGAGGAGCCTAAACCAAACTTGTGAATCCTGTTTTGAATGATAGATAACTCTAAGAGCTTAATCAGCCAAATGAAATAGACATAAAGGATAATTGGAGTCGGTACACATAGACACATGTGGTCTTATGAACATCCAAGCAAGATTACTCACGTTTTGGATAAATTTATCTGATGCGACACGAGTCTTAAACTTTTGGTACATTCTGAAAGTGTCAAGACTGATGTGGAGCACAGATTAGGTAAGCTTATCAAAACAATCCGATCTAATCGTGGAGATGAGTATTTCTTGGGATAGTGCAAAGACTATATGGTCAATGAGGGTGTGGTGTATCAGGTTTTCCGCAATTGACGCTAAATGGATTTAGGTGTCAAATAGGAATAACAGAATTCCGCTTAACATGGTTAGATCTATGATCTGTTATGTTATATTATCTCTTTCATTTAAGAGTTTAGCGTTAATGACATCGATGCGCATTATGAACTGCATTCCATTTTAGTCTGTCTCAAGGATATCGTTGAGCTGTGTTTTTTACTAAATCTTAGTTTGAATCACATGCACATATGGGGTAAACTTGCACATGTGCGCTTGATATGGACAAGTAAGTTGGAAACTGATCATACGCATGATAAATTTGATAGCTACTCTAAAAGTCACTAGGACGGATTATTTTATGATCTCAATGATAAAAGTTGATTGTTTACACTCACTGTTTATCTATAAGAGAATCATATTATGAATCACATACCTAGTAGCCTAGTGTTAGATAATATGGTATGAGTACCAAATGTACCACATATGAACACACTTAGTATAAAGATTTAGAATTATAGATGAATTCCCTATTGATGCGTCAGCATCATCTAGTACACAGATTCCTTCATCGGTACATTGATGTAGTGGGAGGATAATTATCTAATCCGACAGAATCATGTTTTTAGGTGAGACCGTTATGGACATCCCTGTTAAACATAAGTTGGACCCAGTAAGATACACGGAAGCGTGAACCGATATGGATACAGATCGTTTTGGTGAGTTATTATGAAATCAGAGTTGGAATCTATGTATTCTAATAAATTCTGGGATCTTATAGAACTTTCTAGTAGGGTGATACCTATGGAAGACAAGTTAATTTACAAAAAGATACCAGAAGATTTCTTAGTGAATAAATCATGAGTGTACAAGGGAATGTCATTATTTTTCTGATTCTATATATATTGATGACATCCTACTCATTTAGAATGATGTGGAAGTTTTGTCATCAATAAAGAGGTAGTTGTTCAATTACTTTTAAATGAAGGATTTTCAAGATGTAAGCTATATTCCTAGGATCAAGCTTTTGCAAGATCAGGTTAAAAGGAAAATAAGCTTATCTTAACAATCCTACATTGATAAAGTTTTGACCAGGTTTGGTATGCATAACTCAAAGAATGAGTTCTTGCTTTATTGATATGGATTGTTTTCTCTAGTAAGTAGTTTTCCAAAACTAGCAGAGGAGATTGAGCAAATGAGACTGGAATTATATGCTTTGGCATATGGAAGTCTCATATATACCATGGTCTATACCAAATAGGACATCCGCTACATAGTAGGGATAGTCAGAAGATATCAATCCAATTCTGGACTTGATAACTGGTCTGTTGTGAAAAATATCATTAAGTACCTAAGGAGGACCAAGGATATCATACTCATTTATGGATGTGATGATATGGTTTTAGTCAGGTATACTAGTTCTGATTTTCAATCAGAAGTAGATACAATGATATTCATGACTTAGTGTATGTTCACTCAATGGAAGGGAAATCAGTTAGTAGATTGCTAAGCAGATTTCAACTGCTGACTTAAACCTGCAGGTGGAGTACATTACAGCCTTAAAGGCGGCAATGGAAGCCTTTTTGGTTAGATATCACTGATTTAGAGGTTGTGGAGTATACTACTCTACCTATCGAGCTATATTGCGACAATAGTGCAGAAGTAGTCTAAACCAATGACCCAAGGTTCCATAGAGGAACAAGATACACTGAGAGGAAGTATCATATTCTACATGATATTGTCCGGCAAGAAAATGTACTCGTGGCTGGTACATTGCATTGGAACACAACTTTGTTGATCCATTAACAAGGGTGTCATTGATCAATAATTTTGATCGTCATCTGGATAACATTGGAGTTAGATGCAATTGGAATTGGCTATGAGGGCAAGTGGGAACTGTTGGGATTTATATGCCCTGACATAACAAATTCCTATCTGGATTATAGTGACATATGTTCCTGACGTTTCTGAAATATTTATACTTTATACAATTGGTGAATTTAATATATTATGTTTCGATTTATTATAGAATTGAAAGTGATCACTTGATTACAAGAGATATTTATATATGTATGTGATGGCGATCAATACATGATTATAAATAGTAATTATAAATTGTTCATAGTCTGTAATTATGGATGGACTCATAATTAATTAAGACTTAAACTGAATCCGCGTTAGGTTGAGATATATTGCGAGAGCCGTCGTATGCAATTGATACCTATCACCGTCATGACATTTGACTCTTAAACATGAGAAAAGTATAAACTCTTATATTAATTAATAATTACTTTGATTTGTTCGGCGGATTCTTCGGGATTCTTAGACCGACACTTTGGGTAGTTATGTAATTAATAGTTAGAGGGTTATATTTTCAATATTTGTATCATTACTACTTGTATTTATTTTGTATTGATTATGGTTGATCACAAAATAAATTCGAAGGCGTTCGTGTATTTTTAGACAAAATGATTTATTATATATTTATTTATTTAAATTATTATTTTTGTCAAACAAATGTTTTATTGTGATCGAGTTAGAAATAATGAAAGGTACCAAAAAAAATATATTAATTAAGTAGTCGGATTGATGGCTTTATTTATCCGATAACTAATTATGCATAGAGGGGTTAAAGTGCAATATTGACTTAGAGGTTATTTATTATTTAATAGAAGTTCAATTAATTTCTTTTAGTGGAGTAGAAATTAATTTATGAATTAATTGAATTGGGTCCATGAACCGGGCCAATTATTAATTCATTGTAGCCAATAAAATAATAGACCTAATGGATTTCACTCATAGCCCAACTTAATATTGGAATTATATTAGATTTGAGGCATGTGAATTAGAGATTGAGAAGCATTTGTTGTTTCCTTTTCGTTATCTTTATGTTGTCTATAAATATACATGGTCTATGTATATTTTAGGGGTGATTTTTGGAAGAAGGAAAAAGGAACCTATTTTCTCTCTTTAGAAAATTAGGGTTTACGCTCTCATCTAATAGAGGTTCTCACAAACCTATTTTTCTAAGGTCATTCATGGAGGCATATGAGTGATTCTTAAAGGCAAAACAATTACCAAGAAGATGGAGATCCAAAGAGAAGGCATCTTGCTAAGGGATCTATAATAAGTGAGAACGTTCACTTTAGAGGAAAGTTTTAAAGGTTTACTCAGACCTTTGATGTAAGTATTCAATCTGTTAATTGAATGATACATCATATTTTATTTTTGCATAAAACTTGTCTCTATGTGATGAATCAAGATTTATGAATCAAAATTCCTCGAAAAGTTTTTAAAACCAGCATGTTTCCCAACAGTTACATCTTGAGAGGTGTGTCTTAGGCACTTCTTACTAAGCGGTTGGCTCACTCCATTTTATTATTAACATTTTTCAGGATACGAAAAGGATGTGGCGGACGACGCTCCCCTACAGGTTTTGATGGATTAGTGGACTGTTTTGACATACTTTGTAACTTTGATCTCATTTTATTATTATTATGGGATGACACGTATATTATGTATCGACATCGGAAAGGACGGTAGTGTCTTTAGTTGACTTCAGATTTGGATAAGGACCCGATTAGCGATTTGGACCCTTGAGTTTGAGTCGTTATATAAGTATTCTGATTGACTTGAATCATTTATCTTAATTATTAGCTTGAATCAATGTAGATTGAATTATGTATGTGATTAATAGGTTTGCTGCGAAGCCTTAAATAATTTATATTCGTATGCCTATCTATGTCATATTTGACTAGAGATATAAGCGAAAAAAAAAAAAAAAAAAGTGTAAATATATAGAATATTCGTCTTCCTATATATATGTCTATAAAGTATATTTTTACATGCATCTAATTAATAGCAGGGACAGAGGGAATTAAGGTTGCGGGCACGTGACCTCCTGGATTTTTTCCCCTTTTATGTTATATATATATATTTATTATAATATATATGTTTTATAATAAAAATATATATTCTATATTTGTAATTAGTTTAATCCTAAAAATATCAATATATATATACTCATAAACATTAATTTATATACATGAACATTATACTATATATATATATATATATATATATATATATATGGTGTACAATATTACAATGTGCCCATGTATATAGGGAAAGGGGAAAAAGCAATAGATTTTTTTCTTTTTTCAGAAAAGTAGTAAATATCACTATTAGCATTTGAATGTATACATATATATAGATAAAAGATCGCAAGAAATCGAGCAATAAATCATACACAGAGATTAATATATGGCAAGATTCGCTTCAACACTCGCACAATCTTTGCAATATATTATTCTCTCTGTATGATTTACAATTTTTGCTCGATTTCTTGCAATCTGATATATATATTCTTTTAAATATATATTTTCTTCTATAATTTTAAAAAATATTAATATTAATATTATATATATTATATATTAATTTATTAAAATGTTGAAACTTTTTGTACTTTCAAGGAAAATAAAACTATAAATATACATATCAAACCAGCGATGTCTCTCTTCCGAATCAGAGATGTCTTCCGAATCATCGCCTTCTCTGGAAGAGACCATCAGAGCGCGATACCCAGACCCCTCCCACCCCTTAATTGTAAGGCTCAATTATGATAATCCGTCTCGACAACAGATCATCATGATTCGTGATCCGATAGTGCAGTCGATTTTCGTGGAATCACTTTTACCACAACGGTCAAACAAAGACGGGCCTGCGTCCATAGAGGCGATGCCGGCTGTGAAGATCACGGAGGGAGGTTCAGAGTGTCCACTATGTTTTGCGGAGTATGAAGTCGGCGGAGAGGTGAAGGAGATGCCTTGCAAGCACAGGTATCATTCGGGTTGTATCGAGAAGTGGTTGCGGACCCACAGGTCGTGTCCGGTTTGTAGGTTCAAGAGGCCTGTGGAGGAGGAGGAGGAGGAGGAGGAGGAAGATGAGAGCGGGAAGGGAGGCGATGGGGACGACAAATGCAGGCGGCGGAGGTGGATAGTTTGTTAGTTGGCGGCGGTGACGAGTATTTCGGGTACGGGTCTGAGAGCTGTTTAAGTTTTAAATTATAAGAAATTTCATGGTTTTTTTTCAATTCAGAATCTTGTCACTAGTATTGTGATTTTTCTGTTTTTTAGTCCAGTTCCATCTTTATTTACTAAAAAAATTTAACAACTATTCAAGTGGGTTGCATGTAAGTAGGTTGACAAAACCCACCTGCGCCATGCATTTTCTACCATCTTTTATTAATTCTTTAAATTTTATACAGTTTCTATGTTCTAAACTTTATAATGCTACTGTATTATATTTGCTTCATTATTTATTTATTTTTTTACTTTTGAAAAGCTCCGTAATCTGAGCTTTTCAGTTTTAATTACACTCTTTAAAATTATGTATTTATGGTATTCTCTTTGAAAATTGCGATAAATTGTCTTCAATCTGATTATGTGGGTGTGTTTTGCAATCTATCAACAGATTGATCTGCAATGCCAAACAGCTATGTGTTCGCCCAGGTGCCCGGCCTGCCCTGCTGACTATAATACATATATTAAATTTATAAATTTTTACATGTATACATAAAAAAATTCATATAATGGCCTCCTAAAATTTTTATTTTCTAAAATTATCACTTAAATTTTGTATTGCTTTCTAGGTTTTACTCTTTAAATTTTTTTTATTATTTTTTTTAAAAAGTCAAATTTTCCCTTTTTGAATCAAACTCCAATTTTTTTCCCTTTCAAAATTCTCTCATTTTTCTTTCCTTTTTAAATTTTTTATTTTATTAACTATTCATCTTTCTAAAATTACTCATTGATTAACATATTATTTTGAGTATTTTATTTTTATTTTTTGATATCTTAATTTATAGAATCTATATTTATTGTAGTAATTATTTGAATATTTTTTTCAAATAATTTAATTTCTCCGCCCCTAACTCTTTGCATCCACTTGTTGAACCTTCTCAATATCACTGCTTTAAACTTCCTATTATAAATAGACTAAAAAATCGAACAGAGTTCTTTTTGTAGCACTTCGCACCCCTTTTTATTTATATTTATTTATATTTCTTATTTTCTTTTTGTTTTATATTTTCCTATTTCTAAATAAAGTCAAAAATATATTCAATTTAGAAATTGCGAATTACATCATTTGTTGCAACACTGCCTATTTACATCCATTTAACCCGTTCTTTCCGATAATTAAACTAAAAACCAAGAGTTGTGAAAATAGATATTATTCCATTTGTTTGCATCTAAAATATAAAAATATTTACCAAGAAAAAAAAATAATAAAACCTAAAAAAAGGGTAATTGTAATGTTTATAATTTGTTCACTTATACATATACATATATATACATATATATGAGTTCTGATCTCTTACTATCTATGGAGCAAAAAAATTAATCCACACTTTTAATATAGGCCTGGTCATTTTTCAAACCTACCTATGATCTTTCCTTTTAACATAAAACCACTCTCACCCTATTTTTAATTTCTATATTTAATTTTATCATTACCACCTACCATAACAATAAAAGGTAATTATTAAAATAAAAATAAAAACTTTTGCAAAAAAAAATAATACTAGTATATTTTACTAAAAATTTATTTTTATTTAGATTTTTCTTTGAAAAAAAAATAATACCTGTATCTTTCAATTTTGCAACAACAGTATGATATTATATCATTTTTCTAAGAAACATCAATTTTGCAACAATAATATACTTCTCTAGTATAAGTAAATTTACCAACAAATATACTAATATTGCATTTTGGAATATCGAATGGATTAATTGGAATTATAATTGAAATTGAAGAAAATTTCATTTAAAGTTTAAACAAAAATTCTTTCTATTTCAATTTGAAGTTGGACATTTGGTGAAATTAATTATTGAATCTGTGAATTTGTGATTTTGATTATTGGATGATGATGATGTACAGACTATAATGGGACTCTAGAATTCACCTTAGAAATAACAAGGTAACCAAAAATAAATAAAATGAGTGAAACTCTTCTCACAACATTATCGAAGGAGAGAAATCATTTGTCACTTTTGTCCATGGATTCAAATTCAGCCACGTACGAAGAAATGGAAAGAGTATTGATAATTACCTTTTATTGTTACAATAAGTGGTAATAGTAAAATTAAATATAGAAACTAAAAATAGGGTGAGAGTAGTTTTGTGTTAAAAGAAAATTCTATAGGTAGGTTTAAAAAATGACCGTTACATTTAATCTAACGGTCTACATAGAAATTATAGATTAATTTTTTTGCTCTACGAAAAACAAGAGATCAAGACTCAGATATATATATATATATATAAAGTTAACGGTGGGATATTTTTGTGAGTGAGACCTACCTCCACTTACTTTTTAATTTAATGGCGAAGAGGCATTTGGCCTCATTATTATTCTAATGAAAAAAATTGAAGTTTCTACGTTCTAAATTTTCTAATGCTTGGTTATTGTAAAATATTTTTATATTTTTTGAGTTATTGTAAATTATTTATCAAGAAAAAAAAAAATTAAACCTAACAAAAAGAGTAATTTACACGGACCTCCCGAATAGTATCACTGGACTCTTAAGCTTAAGTATGGTCCGAACCCAAAGACAATACTATTGGAATAAATTTGCTTGTTCCTATTTATTTAGATTATATCAAGAATAAAAAAGGGAAATTACATTTTTTTAGTTACGAGTACCCCTAGGCCCATCCATATTCACGAAGGATGCATGTCAATAGCTGTTAGTGTAGGCGTGGTATTGATATGACAATTGGTTTTGATATAGCTGACTTGAAGAGCAGACCAGTGTTAGTAAGAAATTACACAAGAGGCCATTAGTTCTGGGAGTCAGTTTGGAGAACAAGAAGTTGATTCACACATGCATGTTGGCTTGAAAAACGTGACCAGTCTTCACCAACCCACTAACGGCCTCACAAATTCCATTATTTTTGGAATTCAATATCCATTGCAAATGCTTCAATTACAACTGTTTGATAATTTTATGAAAGGTCATATTTCTAATGAGTTTGGACTTTGAAGTCAATTGTGAGTGATTGAATTTTTAAACAATTGTCCAACATCAACTCCTTTGAAGCTTGAATATATTCGTTTTATTTGGGCACTCCAAGTCACTTACAGAGAATAATTGGTGAAAGAAATCAAAAGCTTAGTCGTTTGACTCATGTTGGGACTATACATCATTACCAGGTCTGAAGATAAAACAGTGCTTAAAGCCTTCAACTATGTTCTGGACCAATATTTGGTGCAATGTGGAGACTTCATATACAGAATTGAAAATAATGGACAACGTCAGTCTGTTTAAGGAATTTGTGAATCTAAGGGCCCGTTTGGCATAACTTTTACTTCTACTTTTACACCAAAGAAAAAGAAAAATACAAACCATCACTTCTATTTGAATTATGTGTTAGTGTTTTAGGAACTGCATTGTAAAAGAGCTTTTAACGCTGTAAGAGTTTTTTTTTTAATCTGTTTGGCAAAAAATTTGCTACTAACATAACTATTTTGCTCTTGATTCAATTTGATCAAATTTATCTGTAACAAGCCATGTATAATAATAATAATAATAATAAAATTGCAAAAAATACTTTGCTTTTTAAGAAATTTAGTAACACTGTTTCAATATGCCATTAAAAAATCAATCAAATGAGCATTTTTACTATGTAAACCAATAAAACAAGTCCAAAACAATGGTCTAAATAACATAATTAAGTTATTTTTTATCGTGTATACTATTTTTACCAAGTAATTTAGTCACATGTTGATGCCCATAAAATATTACTAATTTATACGGTGTATATAATGGGTTAGTTTCTAAGTTAAACTCGAGTACTAATTTTAATTTTTTTATTTATTTTTTTTATAATTTTTTTTAGGAAGTTTAATGGTACTTTCCTCAAACATTTAGGTTATTGTATCTTCTTTAGTTATATGATAACTAGATATATATGCTTTCTCCCAATTCACTGCTATTGTATATGAGTATTCACTGCTATCGTATATGAGTATTCAAGGATCGCTTCTATTCTTATAACATCTATTCTTATAACATCTATTCTTATATTCTTATAAGATCTATTCTTATAACATATTTAAGGATTTACGTGTAAGAACAACGATTTCCATATCTAAAGAAACAATCGGACTAAATTTGAATGTTTAGTTTTTTCCAATATCTCAAATGGTAAATTTTAATCTTTTATAACCTGTATACAAATATATAAGCACACATACAATATAAATGAATCAAATATAACAAAATGAGTACAATTCATCAAATTAATATGATAGCTCTCTTTCATGCGTTTTTGTTCCCTACGCCGGTTGATAGAGTCTTCGCGTGCGTGCCAGAGTATTTGTACAAAATATCCAAAATATGTAATTGAACACCAGCCTATCCCTTTTTCCGATGGCTGACTCTCAAGCGATTGTGTGGGAGAGAGACTAGTAAGAACTCGCATCAAGGTTCTTTTATGCCTTGTTTGTAGCAAAGACTTTTTAGAGTGTCTAAAGAAATGCAACGGCTGATGAATGTTTGAATGGATGGAATGGCCGAGTGAAGACAGGCGGCAAGAACTTAATCAATCGCCATCAGCCAAACACAATGGCAAGAATTTAATCGATCGCCACTGAAACGTGATAGCAAGAATTTAATCAATTGCCATCAGCCAAGTAATGACAAGAATTTAATCAATTGTCACTACGATTCAATGGTAAGAATCGAAAATTGCGTAATTAAAATTGGCATAATTGAAATTGAAAGAAAGTAAATGGCTGAATTGAAATAGTTGACGAGGATCTAATCAATTGCCATTAAATTGAAATAAAGGAATTGATAGGAAAATGACGTAGAGTCAAGAAATGCATGTTCTGTGGTGGTGCTAGACAAATTGGAATAGGATTACAACTTTCCTATTTATAAAATTATTTCTCAACTTATTTTCCTAACTTTTTGCTAGAAAATCTCTCATTCCTTGATTTTCTT